CTAAGCTAGGCTGTAAAATGAGCTCTGCCCACAGATAGGAGGGTAAGACGTGGGGTTGAGTGTGTTTGCTCAGAAGAAAGGATGAGGAAGAGATAACCAATGTGGATCCTTCCCTAAAGACACTACTGAAGAGGTGGGCAGACTGTAAAGAGGAAAGAAGAAAAATAGCCTGAAGGGGAAGAAGATGAGAAAGGGAAAGAGTGAACACAAGGCACAGTGACACTGCAGCCCAGACATGGAGGGTAATGACAGAGGTGTCCTCTGGATTCAGCAGGGGTCACGGATGCCTGTGAGACAAGATGGCGGAAGGGAAAGTTAGACACCTCCAGTTGAGGACTGGAGAATGAGGGAGTGAACACTGCTTTTTCGGAATGACAGATCTAAACAATGGGGTACAGCCAGGAGAGCAGGGCACAGAGGGACAAGTGACCAAACGCATTCACAAAGAAACAGAACATGCCTGAGTCAGGATTTAGCAACTCACCACAGGAATTGCTACCCTCTGAGGCCTACTTCTCCACTAGGAACTGACTAACATGCATTTCTAAGAGTAAACCCAGACCTCAGACCTTCACAATGAGGGCTTCTCTCTTTTTTCCCATTTCTGTATTAAACATATATATTTTATAATGCACAATTTATTGACTTAAGTGTACGGTACAATGGCCTTACTTATATTCATAATGAATGCAAACATCACTACTGTGTTTCCACAACCTTTACAGCATCTCAAACAGATACCATATTGCATGCCCATTAAGAATAACTTTATTCTCCTCAGCCCCTGGTAACTTGTTTCTCTATGAACTTGAGGATTTTAAGTCTTTCTTTATAAGTGAGATCGTATTATGTATTTCCTTTTGTATCTGGCTCTTTTACTCAACATGATGTTTTTAAAGTTCATGTCTGTAAGTATCACGCATCAGAATTGCAGCCCTTTCTCATGGATGAATAATATACCGTGTGTGTTTATCTATTTATGTGTTAATAAACACTTGACCTGCTTCCACATTTCAGCTATCATGAATGGTGCTGCTGTGAACGCTGGTGTATGAGTATCTGTTTTCAGTTTTGGGGAGGGTATGTATCTAGAGTAGAATTGCTAAGCCATTTTTCCAGGTAATCTAACTTTCTAAGGAACTTCCAAAGGACCTTCATAGCAACTATATCATTTTTACATTCCTGTCAGCAAGGCACAGGGTCCCAGTTTTTCAGTGTCTTGACCAACACTTGCTATTTTCTGCTTTTTGATTATAGTGCTCTCTTATAGATAGATATAAACTGGTATCTCATTTTGATTTGGTTTTGTATAATGACCAATGATGTAAAAAATATGGGCTTTTCCACTGTCATTTACATCTTGCAGTTGCCAGCACTTCACTGTAATATCTTCAGATTTTATTAGTTACTTTCTCGTTTCTTTAAAATTAACGGTTAAACAATAATAAGTTTATCAAGATTAAAATGCATAGTTTGAAAGCACTTTCAGTAAAGTATGAATGGCTAAGATCTAGCCTTCTTCCAAACTGTTTTCCTGAAAATGCACTTACATAACATACAAATAATTTTCATACCTGTTTAACACCTGCTCAGATTCAGGACCAAAGAGCACTGTTTGAATTTAAAATCCACTGCTTGAACTTATGATCTGTGTTTCCTATTTTGCACATTCTGTACATTTTGTTGATAAAGACTCGGTGTCTTTTTCTGTATAGTACATCTTGTTCATGCAGTACTAGAGTTTTTTCTGACCGTACTGTACAGTACAATAATGTAGTTTTGTGTTCTGTTACATGTCACAATACTGCATGTGAGAGTTACGCACATAAAAGCAAAATCATCAAGTTGGAGCTCCTTTGACCATTTCTTTGCTCTGGATCTTATAATGCATGTACTTACATACAGTTCCTCATTTAGTGACCAGTTCATTTAGCAACCTAGTCACAGGAACTGACTTAATCATTAAATGAGAATGTCTGCATACATATTATTCTATAAAATATTCATGATTTCCTTAATCTTTATACTGGCTAACCTTATCATTATTTTGTAATCTGCAGCCTTGGGTTGGGGAGGTTACACTGTCAAATCTAGGGAATCTACTGTAGCCTAAAACCCCATAAAACAGTAAATGTTTCCAATGCATGTGCATATCATATTAATCAAAGTAAGTATCACAAAAGCTGACATCCCCTAAGCATTACTATACCCATAACATTAGTTTCGGCCAGCTGACTATAGCTGGATGGCAGCTTTAGAGATTTAACCTACATTTTTTTATACCTGGTTAATAAAACAAACTTAAACTGCTTTGGTTTCATTTTGTGTCATCTAACACAGAAAGGTGGTTTTTAAATAATTAACTCAATAACTGCTATTAAGATATGATGAGTCAGAAAGTTCTTGTTTATTGTGCCATACCCCCAAAATAAAGTTATAAGGATAATCTCAAGATCTTATCATCATTTAGAAATTTCTGGCAATGTATCAATTGATTAAAGGTTAGTAATACAAATGCAAATATTGTGGGTGCTTGTACAGTGCACAGAAGAATCCACACATTGATTCCATCAGACTGTCCCTTTAGAGGGTGAGAAACTTCTACAATATATGAGATCACTAAACACAAGGAACTGTGCAACAAAACCATTCCATATATCTCTCCTACGAGGCCTGTGAGCAGGAGGACACGTGTTATTACACATAATTAACTATATAAAATAAAGATGAATTACTCTTAAATAGTTGAATGCTCTGGAACTCATGTAGAGATTCTGTGCCTTTATCTGAGTCTGGATTGTGGGTCATTTTCCCAGTGTAACACCCCTACGGCGAGAGAGCATGCCTACCACAACATCCAATTATTTATGTAGCCCCTGTGGAAACTTAACACTCATTCTACAAAATAATAAGCGTTTTCCAGGAGAATTTTATCCAGATTAGACGTCAACAGGTCTGAAATGCCTACAAGACATTTTGCTTCCTCATATCACATATTATATACAAGTTAGCTTTGTATAGCAAGAAGACCTGGTGTCTCCCTGGTCACCACACAACTATTGTGAATGACAGTAATTTGCCTGCACCTTATCACTTTTTGATAACTGGAAAGATAACTGCCATGTCCCAGATGTGCCCGTGTGAATCACAGCTGGCTAAAGCCAAAAGTGGCACTGGAGACCAGTCCAGATGTAAAAAATAAGGAAACTAAAGGTCCAGAGGTTAATGATTTGCCCCATATCTCAGAATAGATAGTTAGAAAGCTGAATTGAAGTTATTCATGATAATTAAATGGATTATTGCATGTATATGGCAATTGCATGAAACAATAAATGTTTTAGGCAAGAAATAATTCCAAGTAGTGGCAGGTATGAGTTACATTACCACTAGCCAGTGTTCCTGTCACTTAGAAGCCCTAGAGATCCCTTAATCAAAACCTACATTTATAGATGAAAACCTAAAGTTACAGTAACTGGAATAAGTACTGAGCTCTCCTTTTTCTTTGGGAAAAAAAGGCATTTCATGTTTTTAAACCCTTTATCAATTATAAACGACTTCAAAATGAAATTGGTAGAAGTGAAAGTTGAGGTCAGCAATTACCGTGCAGTGGCTTTGAGGGGCTGCTGTCATTGTTTTATTTTTTTAATTTTTATTTTTATTAGTCGATGTTTACAGCACATAATGACTACAGTCACCATGGGCAGTTGGTGTGTGTGGACACAACACATCTTAATTCTGTTTATGTCCACGTCCCCTTCCCTTGATCACCCTCCTTCCACCACTGAGAACCATGTGGCTTAATGATTTTTGTGGGCATTTTGATTTATGTTTGGCGTAGCATAATGAAAGAATGGAAAAGTGGCTGTTTCGTGCCTAAAACTAAAGGTCAGGACTCAAATCCAGTGAAAAGACGTGGTAAGCTTCTGCCATTGAAAAGGACTTTTTCAAGAAATACACTGTGAGATGCAGGGTGAAGGTACTGCCATTCTGGGTGCAGGTGTCTCAGGATAGTACTGAGCATTGCACTTTGACAGCTAACGTAATTATGACCTGAACTGCTCATACAAGCTGGCATGATCCAAAACAGTAAGATTATACATCAGCAAAGTAAAACTACAAATGTCCCCTAACTTACCGAAACTGATGACCTTTATGCCTTGAGGTATTTTTCCAGACTAACTTTACTATATTTAAGGTCTGGGTTGTTGTCAGATCAATACTGGTTAAATAGAACTTTCATAATGTAGTCTCTATTTTCAGAATCCTTCATATCCTTCCCCTGTGTATGGAATAAACTTTTTTGGCTTTTTCTTGCTGCATTATCTCAAAATTCTATACTGCTAATACATTTCCTTGCAGTAAGTCTTCTCTGTCAAGATGCTAGTGATTAATAAGCTTATCTGACATTAGAGGAGCTTCACTTCTCAGAAAGAACATGGTCAGACATAATACACCATTTACTACCCTATTAAGATCATAGTGGATATCTGTACTTGTCTTTTCTTCTAAAACCCTAAGATTACTGAAAACTGCAAAATAATAATATATATATGTTTGTGTATGTGTTTAAATTTTTCCCCAAACTTCTTTAACAGGCTATTTTAGACTCACCCAATCCCCACATTAAATTCTAGAACCACTGACAGCTGAGGGAATCAATTTCCCCACACACAATTAAGGACAAAAATAATTAGAGGAAGCTCTGTTCAGAAAGAAGGGGAAATATATTGAAAATTACTGTTTCTGTTCTATGCTAGGAAGAACTAAATCACAACTGTATTCTACACCTACCAAAGAACATAAAAATTTGAATCCCCACTTTGTCCTCAAAAGCGTGCCAGTTACTCGTACAATACAATCGCCACTTGTGTAAACAATACGGGCTTCCAAGGGTGTGTGTGGGAGGAGTCACCATCACCAACGAGCCGAGCCGTGCACCTAGTTGGACCTGACAGCAGTTTACTTTGGAGTCCAAGTGTATGTGTGTGGATGAAACTTACGTGTCCAAGGTCCACGATGAAGCAGTCACCCTTGTTGAAACTGTCCCAGCTGAGGGAAACTTCCGTGGCCCTGACCACTCTGCGTCCCTTCACATGCAGGAGCCTCTGGGCGGACAGGTCATTGGTGAGAACATGGTTGAGTCCCGATGCCACACCTCCAGCCTGACCAGGGCAGGAAGACAGAACAGAGAGCACAACCATGAGGTTGTTTCCATGTCAGGAAACAGCTGTCCATGCCACAGCTGTGCACCACCATAAAACATCCAGCATAAAACAGCCACCCATGTGCACATGACAACTTAAAACATCACGAGAGAATTCCTTGGTAGATCAACAGGGTTGTTTCTGTGTTCTTTATTTGGTCTCTTTCTTTTAGCATTTCAATTTCAAACAGTGAGGACTTTCAACAAAGAAAACCCTGATGTAGCAACAGAAGAGAAAAGCCCATAGTTCTGGCCTTGTGGGAACTGGTGATTCACAAAAATTGAATCAGTGAGAAGGCAGACAAGAATTCCAGGGAAGAAGAGGTTGGGAGGCTAGAAAATCAGAGGTAACAAGCACAGATGTCAGCAGCACAGGACAGGGCACCCCGCATTCCCAGTGTCACACTTAGGACAGAGAAGGTGCCGTGGAGATCCAAAGATTGCTCTTATGTATGGTCTTTGGTTTTGCATGTATCAACTACATCTGCTTGCATCATCTGCAAACATATTTTGCCTTTTCATTTGTTTCTAACTAAATTTTAGGAACTATATCTTTACTTGCATAATTAATTATAGGGTACTTTGCATAATTAAGAGGCCGTATAAACAAAACCCTGTTATTCATAGACCAAAGACCTTCTACAATAATGGTAAGAGAAATTAATGATATTCAGTAATCTATAAAATAGTTTGACTTTCAAGCTTATTCAAAATAGGTACAGTGAATCCAAAATAATGGTTTAAACTACATGTGTAAACGTGAACACATTTTTCAATTTTACCTTGTCTGAATTTCTATGTTATCCAGGAAAAGATATCCACAAATAGAATGAATTAAATATTGATACAGGACAGTTCTAACTTCAATTTTCAAGAAATACAGACACTTGTCATTTAAGGTCCTAGTTACATTCTTGCAACTGGGTCACTAAATCAGTTGGTCACCAAATGAGGAACTGTAGATAGTATGTTCAGGACAAGATTCAGAACAAAGCAATGGTCAAAGGTAACTCCAACTTGATGACTTGGCTCTTATTTGTGTAACTCTCACATGCAGTACTATAATGTATAAAGAACATAAAAGTATAATACTATACTTGTGCTGTATAGTACAATCAGCAAAAATCACAGTACTGTATAAACAAGGTGCACTGCACCAAAAGAAAAAAAAAAGATATTGAGGCTTTATAACCAAGACATACAGAACTGTACAAAGCAAAGATGGGCGTAAGTCCAAATAGTGCTTCATAAGTCCTTAACAGCAAACCTTTGTTGTAAGTCATTAAGTGAGAGATATCTGTATATATATAATTTCCCAGACCATGGTTTTGCAAAGATTACCACACTTCTTTATTCTTTGCAAGAGCAGTGGTTAAACAGATAGATCATGAAGTGAGGCATGTCTGTACATAACTTCCCAGGTCATAGTTTTGCAAAGATTACCACTTTATTCTTTGAATAAAGTATTATTTATTCTTTGAATAAAGTAAGTATTATGCAATAAAATAAATGTAAGTTTTCATCTATACACTACTGTTTGGGGCCATTTTATTTTTAAATTAACAGAAATACATATTGTGATCTGATTTTTAAAAAACAGTAAATAGTGTCATATGAAAGGTTATAAAATACAGAGTACACTTAACTTTTCAGTTAGTCACATACATATAACCAGAGTGATACATAGTCTGAAAAATTAACATTATTGTAAAAGTAATCTTGTCTCTAATACTTAATGCCAAAATACACAAAGGAAAAACTACCTATTCCATAAATGTCGGCATCAGACAAGAAATATTTGTTCCATAAATATTCTGTGAATTAACACTAGAAATGTCCAGCCTTTCTCTGCTTTCACAAGGCAAAATCACAGCAAAGTGGATCACCTTGGAAACCATAAATAAGGTTTGCCAGCTCATGCTCACTGTCTACAATGCTAATTAAAGGCAAGATCTCATTGAGCTTGAGAAGAGTGTATCAGAAAGAAAGTTAAGGGAGGGTATATGGTTCAGCGGCACAGCACTTGCCTGGCAAGTGCAAGGTCCTGAGTTTGATTCCTGGAATCAAAAAAATTTAACGTAAGAGAGCAGGGTAAGTAGCAGTCCACTATAACCACACCCCAAGCTCCCAAAGATCTCAGAGAGAAATGGCAGACAACCAACCAAAATGAGGCAGGAAGATGATCTTAGTATTTCCTGTCTGAATCTTAGCATTCGGCAACTCATAATGATTTTCACAAACGTGCTAGTGACAGATTTTGTCAAATTTTGTCCATTCCAAATAAACTGATACAGAGAGTAAAGTTAAAACTAAAATCTTGTCCTGACATATGAATCATTATTAATATTAAGAGCACCACAGAATAATGATTACCAATGTAGGCCCTGGAGCAGATGGTCTCTGGGTCACACACTAGCCCTAAGCCCTGGTAAGTTACAGTAAGTGGCCTCTCCAAGCCTTATTTATCTTAAAAGAGTGGTAATGATGCTAACTGAACCATATGAATGTTTACATTAAGTGAGATAATATAATGATGTCATTAACATATTCCCATAAGCTTGAAGCTAATACACGTATTGGGATGAATGCAGTATAATATTTGCATCTTTCCTATATTGGGTAGAAAATTATCTCTGCCACCACATTTTCTCTTAAGTAATGCTGCAACCACACTGGCATCTGTTTTGTGTCACTAGCGATAAGACAGCCAAGTGATTATCTTGCTATAAATTTAATCTCCGTTGCCAAATATCCTCTTTCAGAAAAATGTTGATTTGCGGTGATCTTAATGTCAGTAATTAGGATATAATCCTCCAAAAACTGTGAAATTACTACTTCTCGTGTCTGGTCTTTAATATGCATGCAGAAGTTTGATTTCAAAGGTCCTGTTAATAGCCAGCAGGATTAACAATATGCCCTTGGGGGCTGGGGAGTTAGCTCAGTGGCATAAGAGCCTGCCTTGCAAGCAGGCAGTTCTGAGTTTGATCCCCGGTACCGATGAAAAGGAAAAAGACAAAAAAAAAAAATATATATATATATATATATATATATATATATATATATGCCCTTATTGATTCTGTACTGTATATATCTTTTGGTATTTAATTTGATCTTTAATCCTTATAATAGCTGTTAATCTTACCCATTATACACTTGAGGAAATCAAGACAGAAAGAATCTGCCTTAAGGCAAAGAAGTCAGATACAGAAAAAAGGGACCCTAAGTAGGACTAAGTAGTTGCCACAGCAACTACTCTCAAGTAACAATCTGTCCTTTCATGTTTAAAATGTTAGATTCATTCACATGAAGGGAGTTTTTGGATCATTTCTCATAAACCAGAGGGACTCATGTGAATGGAATAAGAGGACAGGGAATAGTCCCATGTTTATATCCTGGTATGAGATAAGGATTTCCAGAGAGGAAACAGAACTTACAGCTGTTTTGCCCTGATCTCAAAGGAACTGCAAAGTAGTCAACCAAGGATCCGACAGATAAAAGTACAAACGAACCAGGCCTATTAGTAGGCAAGTGAGTAAGCCGTGGGAATCCAGTTTAGCTGTGAGGTTCCGGGTGCTGGCGGGGTGGGAAGTGGGGTGTGCACAGCACCTGTTGAGCAGGCTGGGGTCTGGAGAGCTGCCGGGAGGGTATTCCTCAAGCTCACACCAACACCTGAACCAGCAGGGGAGGCCCTAGGGGAGGGCAGCCAGTCTGTGATGCTTGAAGAGGACTCCGGAAAACCAATTCTCCTTTACTTAAAGGGATAGAACCATCTAGTCATTAATGTTTGTTGTGTGTGTGTGTATTGGGGTCTGTGCGGTTGAACCCCACATATGTTCAGCTCAGTGGTTTCCTTTGTGTCTGTGTTACACTGCCGGGTAATATGCGTATAGTTCTTTGTAGGACCTGAAATTATAGTTGCCATAAATGCTGTGCTAAGGTACCCCAGAGAGGCTGAGATTCTGAAAGCTTGGCTTACTGGCAGCAAATTCAGAGATTCACTAGAATAGCAAAAATGAAAACGCTAAGAATTCAGTAAACAATGTTAATCGTTATTTAATAATCTAATTGTAATCTAAAGAGCAAAAATAAAAGGAAACAGGGAGATAGATAGAACTTTTCCAAATGGGAGGAGATCAAGGATGGAGAGAAGGAGAAGAAAGGGAAGAGCACAGAAAAAAACCCTAATCTGTGTCACATCCATGTACCAGCTCCCCAAGACTAATGTAACCATTATGTACTACAAACTGGCTAGCAAAAAGCTTGAAATTTCTAAAGTATTTAAAAAATGCTAACCACTAAAATAAGCTTACAATATATTAAAGGGTTTTCTCGTGAAGACAAACCAAGCACTAGTTTATCAAAATAAATTAAGCCTGCATGGTTCACACACACCATGGACTCCAAACACTTACTGAGCACCTACTGCGTCTCCAACAGACAGTGGGGATGGAGCAGCGAACAAAGCAGATCCAAAAAGACAGGAACAGCAAAAAGAAGCCCCCAAGACCCCCTCACTGAACTTGCATTCTCTGAAGACACCACGAGGGTAGGCTGGGAGAAACTGACACTGTCACAAGGAGAGTCCGAGAACAGTGCTCACCTTGTACTTCAGGCCTCCTTTGAAGTATCCCACAAAATCAGTGGACTCGAAGCCCTGGAGCTCCCTGCTCTGCACCGGCTTGCCCCCCAGGAAGTCATCCATCTGGACGGTGAAGATGGCAGCCGCTGTGCTCTCATCCTGGGAACACTCTTTTCCTACCGGGAGCAAATGACAGCACTTCAGTTAGCAGGCAAGCAACAGTATTAAGACAGAATTCTTGACATTAAGGAAATCAGAAACAGTCTCTTCGACTGTGTATCACTACAACAAACAGTCCTCTGTAAAATCTCTTCCAAAAGAAACAGCATAAAACATAAAATATTATTTGACAAATAACTAAACCCTTGGTGTTATTCCTGCATTTTCCAATTCCTTTAAAAAATTTTTTTACAGAAACTCTGCTGTCTGATTACGCTTGAGAAGATACAATAATATACTAAGATTTAGGAAAGTATCACTTGGTAGAGTCAATAACCTGGATAGGAAAATATTTTGGAATTGTCTTAGCCATTATTATCATTAAACACTAGGCTTCTTCTAATAATTCATTGTGTTAGTATGGGTCATAATCAAAAACCAGAAAATTAAGTGGTTTTTAAAATAGGAAATGAACTTTTTAATTTATACTCATTTTTTAGTCTGTTCCCATTTTACTGTCTTATTACTTTCGTTTGATCAGAAGGAAACAGGAGTGGAGGAGATAGTACAACATATAACGAATGTTAATGTACCTGTTACTGTCCCGGGAACTTAGCACATTAATATACACTTGATTTTCACTATTCTGAAACACATCCTACCCAGGCAACCTCACTGAGTGGAATAAGATGTTCTAGGAATCAATGTCTGTGGCATACAGGCGGGGGCAAGACAATCCCAAGAACCAGATTTTATCCAGTTTCATTTGAAAACCTTCATAAGCCAGGCATGGCAGGGAACACCTCTAATTCTAGCAGTCAAGAGGATCGCTATGAGTTCAAGGTCAGCCTGGAATACACAGCAAGACCCTATCTCAAAAAGAAAACAAAAAACCAAAAAATGCTTCAAAACCTTCGCTATCTCCAAACTGCACAAAAGCCACAAAGCATTCATTGTTTAATAGCTCAATGTCCTGTTAGTGCCTGGTCATGGGCACACGCCGTGCTAGTGTCTCACACTAGTGGTTTGCAAGCAACCTCATGCAGCAGAACCTGTTTTCTACCATAGTACATGGCTTAGAAGAGCTGAGTCATTTTTCTGAGACTCCAAGGTGACCTGTGGCAGAAAAGGACCAGGACGCAGGCTTGTGTGAAGGTAAAGAGCTGGCTCTTAAGGAGGCACATTAGTAGATTAATTTTTTAAACTACAACTCTCATTAGTAGTAAAGTTGTGTGGTAACCAGGATATATTCATTAACACAGAATAACTGATGCATAAACATTTAGACACTGTAATGATAAAATAGTTCACCTAAACAACTCCAAGGAAGTATTCCCCCAAACTTAAAAATCAGTGAGCTACAGTAAAGAAAGACTTCTGTTTCTTCACAATTCGCCTCTCACACTCAAAGGTGACTTGTGCAGCAAAGATCTCAAGCAACATTTCAGCAAAGAATACTAAACATGAGAACAATTTTGTCAGTTTCTTGATCAAAGCTAACACCAAAAATACATAATTTTGGACAGAAATGCTTTGACAGGACTTTAAATCAAGGCTATTAACAAAGGTGTTGAGGATAACATATTTGCTTTAAATATCATCACCTGACTGACTACAAGTTGGGCCACTGAGTGTATCTCCAGCCCTGAAACCCAAATTCTTTTATGTAGATGAAAATAGATCAGCATAAAGTTAATGAATGAACTGGAAATAAATTCAGTTATACTCCCATTTGCTGATGTTTATATATTTTGTTAGCCCAGTATGGATAAGCCACAGTTCTTGCCCAAGAGGAGTTGAAAGACCTTAATGAAGCCAAAGTCAGTCTTTGGATGTGAAAATTATCATCAAATTCTGCTGCATCATGATGAAACTCTACCAATTCTTCAGAAACATACGAACTCTGTATGAATTCTGCTTATGACTTTCTGTGGTTTTTCCCCTGTGAATTCTACTTACGACTTCATTTGTTGTTTTCCTAAGCTGATTTTACTGGCTACACTGTGTTATGTTGTATTATTTTATATCTGGCTATGTTGTTACACTTGTACATATACCCTAAACCTCATAAAATTGTTTGGGGCATGTGATAGCTTTGTATACAAAGCACAGATGAAAAAAGAGCTTTAAAACTAAGTCACTCCAGGATAATCAACACTTTAGGAATAAGAGAACATTTCCAACTTCGTAAGTAGCATCTACAAAGAATACAGAGCTAATATAACACTTACATATCTTTCTCACAAGATCAAGAACAGTAGGAAGCATGTCCACACTCACCATTCTTACTGAGCTAGTACAGGAAATTCTAACCACCACAGTAAGGTAAGAAAAGAAACAAAAAGCATGCAGGTTGGAAATGAAGAAATAAAAAACTGTCTCAATTTAGTGATCACAGGTTTATTCGCAAAGTAAACTTTAAGGAACCTACAAAAAAACCCTCCTGGAATTAACAAGTACATTCAGCAAGGATACAAGATAGAACAATAATAAAAATTGGTCACACGTCTATATAGAAACGATGAAGATACAGAAACTAAAATTTAAAATGCTATTTTTAATCGCTCTAAAGAAAATGAATTACTCGCTGGGCATGGTGGCTCACGCCTGTAAGCCCAGCACTCAGGAGGCTGAGGCAGGAGGATCATTGTGAGTTCGAGGCCAGCCTGGGCTACAAAGTGAACTCGAGGCCAGCCTGAACTGCATAGTGAGACCCTGTCTCAAAAAGACAAAAAAAAGAAAAGAAAATGAATTACTCAGGCATATATTCACCAAAACATACATAGGACCCATTGCTGAAAATTTCAAACTGGTGATGGAAAGAATCAGAGAAAGACCTACATAAATGTAAAGCACAATGTCCCTGTATTGGAAGAAATTCAACCTAAGAATGAGGTCAGTTCTTACCAATTGATCTATAGTCTTAATGCTATTCTTATTTAAATCATAAGAAGCCTTACCATACACATATGTAAGACATATACGTATAATTATGAAATATAGATGAAAAGGCACAGGCCCTGGTATGGTAAAATAGTCTGGACACAGAACCCTTGGGAAAGGAAACTCTCTCTACCTAGAATGAAGGTTTCCTATTGGTAAACAGACATACAGGTCAACACTCTCACGTCCCCTTATAATGGCATCTTATAAAACTGTGGTCTGATTTAGTATTCTAAGGTATACTAAGTTAGAAGTGCACATGTATACTTTCGCATAGAATCTCACAGTGAGGATATTCACGTTGATAAAATCCAGGTCTCTTGTTCACAGTTCTCTTTTACATGTACTCACTGATGTTTTTGTGTGCATTTTATTGTGCAAAATCTTACCTCCTGTACAAATGCATGACTCTGCCTTAGATGAAGTCAGGATACTGTCAAGTTCCATCACCCAAAAGATTGCTCACGTTCTCCCTTTAACGCTCCACCTGCCTCCTAATTGTGCCTCCTATTCGCCCTATCTCTAACCTCTGGCAACAAATCTGAAGTTTTCTCATTTCAAAACTATTGTAGAGATGGAATCCTATAACACACAACCTTTTAGCCCTTTTCCAAAGCCTAGCATAATTCTCTGGAGATTCATCCTAAATGGAACCCAGTAGCTTGATCCTCTTTATTGCTGGGTAATATTTCCTGGAAGAGATAGATCACAAGTTGTCAAACCAGTCACCAGTTGAAAGAGTATTCGATTCTAGTTTTTGGCTACTCAAATAAACTCACTATGCACAATTATGCATAGATTTTTTGCATGGAATGAATTATCATGAATGCAATTTATGGGTCACATGGCAGTTGCATGTTGAATTTTGTCTTTTTTGTTGTTGTTTTTGAGACAGGGTCTAACTATGAGGTTTAAACTGGTCTTGAACTCACTATGGCCTCAAATCCATGGTGCTTCTCCTGCCTCACCCTCCCTCGTGTTAGAATTACAGGAGTGTGGCTCCACGCCTGACCACATGCTTACTTTTGGAGGAACTGCCAAACCCTTTTCCAGGTGCTCTGCCAGGTTACCTCCACCTCAGCCCCTCAGCCCAGCAATGCTAGCTACCCAGTTTCTCAGGAGCCTTCCCGAGTTCCTTGTGTTGTTTACCATAATCAATTCCCAGCACCTTGCTCAGGCTTAACCAGGCTAGTCCTAATACATGTGCATGTTGCTTTAAAAACCGTATTTATATAAAGTGTAAAACTGGTGAGGAGAAGGACCGGGGAGGTGTTTGCAGCACAGACCAGGGACGTGGCAGGGACCCACTTCTGACTATTTCCCCTCACAAAATGGAAGGAACCAGAAGCAGAAGGTGAATGCATTTAAATTCCTAGGTACCAAGCTGAGCTCCTTTTTTTAAGGGTTGATGCAAAAACTTTTGCATTATACACAACAAATTCTTACTTTCCGTGCACTGAAACATGCAATGTCAACGCAAGGTGGTGTGTGGAAAGATCTGAGGTAGGCAATGAGGTCACAGACACGGGAGAGAGACCCAGAAAGGTGCCCCCCCCCCCGTTCTCTCTCACTTTGGGGCCCACTTCCTGTTCCCCTTTTTGTCTCCTCTTTTGCCTGTTTCCTCACTTCTGTGCTGTGTGTTTGCCTTTTCCACTTGACTCCAGCTTTACTGCTCCTCCTTTGATTGATTTCCAGATTTCTTTTCATCAAATGCGTCCTCCCCCTGAACTTTCAGTTCTCTCCCCTGGAATGTGTCGCCAGCCCTCTCTCTCATTAATCCTCATGAATTTATCTAAATTCTTAGAGGAGACTCTTAGACGGCATGTTGCTTAGGGAACGGAAGCAGGCAGTGCTGGACGACTCTCTCTTCCGATCCTGCAGGCTGTGCAGGTGATTTTCTCTTGCCCACAGGGGCCTTGTCCCCATTTCCATCCAGGCTCCTCATTCTCTCGCATGTTTTTCACACGCTCCTGGCATTCTCCAGGGTTCCCTCGCACCAGTATCTCCTGGCACCACTCAGATGGTGAATTCTCAGGAACGTCCCATCAAATATTCATCTCCCAAAATGCCTCCCACAGCACTATTTTGTTTTGAAATAGGTGAGTACTGAACGAGAGTTCGAGTGATTCTGCAAACCCCACCAAGCATGGTGGGCACTCACGTGTGTAAGAAAAATTCTACCCACTCGTAGAATTACAGATGTGTGCTCAAAGCCTTTTTCCAGTCTCCCGACAAAGTCAAAGTTAATTGCTGTGTACATATGTCTTTCACATTTTAATTCCCCCCAATGGCAAACAATGGCCCTTCCGGGACTTCTGCACCTCCAGACCCGCTTTCGGGATGGAGACCGAGGCTGCCTCAGGCATTCAAGCACACAGAACGCACACTGAGATTCTGCCTTTCTTTGGACCGCTGTGCACTGGAATGCACTAGCACAGAGACACCGCAGCGGGAAACCAGACTGTTTCACAATCAGCCGCAGCCTGCTGCTCATCACCTCCCGCAAGCATCACACTGAACACTGCGGTTCAAACTGCTATCTTCCTGTGATTCTTTCTCACGGGCGCCCGCCGGCTCCGGGGTGTTTGCAAAGGCTCAGAAAGTGGCTTCTCAGTGTTCTCCACTTGTTGACTATCTTCAATAAAAACGTCAGTTTTCAGACACGAACTCTGGCTGCCCGTGGTTGCGCGTGCTTTCCTCTGAACCCAAGAATAAAACTACAGAAACCCAAGCAGAAAAGAGGCCAGCCAGATGCAGAAGAAGGCACTCTGGCGCGGATAATCGGCGGGCTGTCAGCGGTGCGCGCCCACTGGCACCAGACGCACGGGAGGGCAGGGTGGACGCAGGGTGTTTACCAGAAGAGCGCGAGGCGGAGCAGCGGGACACACAGGCCCACTGTCCACCCAGCCTGGCGCGAAGGCAGCCGGTGTTAATTACCACCGTCCACACCAGGTCCCTGGTAAAACAGACTAATAAGTTAATGTAAACAGCGGCCTGTCTAAATAGCTCACCCACAGAAAGTTATTCATGTAACTAAAATCTCCTTTGCGCCCTGCTCAGCCAGGACTGTTATGCAGGAAGAAACTGGATTTTAAACAACCCGGACAACTGACCCCCGAAATTTAGAGAAATACAAGCACACACGGGACAGCCGGACGCCCGACAGCTGAGGCAGATGCGCGCAGATTTGTCCTACTCCCCTCCGCCCTAGCGAACCAGGACTGAACCTGCCCGCAGGGGAGCGAGCTGGGCCAGCAGGAGGAGGGGTCCCGAGGCGGCGCCCCGGGAATGAGAGGGGTTCGAAGGCGGGGAGGTGGCCAGGGCAAAAAGCCCTTGGAACCCACGCGAAAGCCTTGACCCAGGGCGAAGCCAGCAGGCAGGGGCCTCTCCACACCCGCCTGCCGCGGGTCCGCGGCCAGCAAAGGGAGCTGCTGCGATCTGAGGGTCTGCACGCCCCTCCGGCGCAGAGCCTGCAAATCCCTGCAATCCCGGCCGCCGGGCGCCGCTTACCCAGCCAGAAGTGCAGGCGGTAGACGAAGCCCCGGCTGGCGCGCGCGGTGTGCAGCACCAGGTAGGCGTCTCCCACGAAGAAGTCGCCGTGCGCGCCCTCGGGCACCGGGACCAGCTCCAGCTTCTCGATCCTCCAGACCTGCAGCCCCGGCTGCTGGCCCGCGCGGGCGAACTCGGGGTGGTACAGCTCTTGGGCCATGCTCCCGCTGCGGCGCCCGATGCCCAGACCTCCACGCCCCAAGCCCGGCGGAATCCAGACGGGCTGGAGGGAGCCGGTGCGCGGCGGTTTTATAGGGCTCCACTCGGGGAGGCGGGGCTCGGAGCGGAGGGGCCGGTGCCCGGACAGGCGTAGCCGGAGGAGTCGGCGGTTCAACCTGGAGCACAGCGCTGCGCGAAGCTCCACGCCCTCACGCCCTCGCGGGCAGAAGAGGAACTGGCGCCCGGAATCTGGGGCTCTGGAGGGGGTGCAAGGAAACGCCTGGAAAAGACCTTTTTCTATCGCGGTTCAATGCACACATCAGCCGCTCCCGCTAATCTAGTGACCTCTGGGTCTCCGAGGCACAGGGTACCCCCGAGTGGTGAGGGAAGAGCACCCCGGCTCCGCAGCGTGGACCCAGCGCTGCGCCTGGAGGAGCGAATGCAGAAAGGATCAAGGCCGGTAGCAACCCCTGCTTTTAGGACGCGAAGCCACTGAGTCTCTTTGATGTGCGTCGTTTTAAAATTCCCAGTCATCAAGGTCGCTGTTTCACTGGTCAGTCTCATCTCCTGATGACCCGAAGTTCTACAGCTTGAGCTTCTCATTTTGAAAATAGCAAGCCCATCAGCAGGGCAGAAGCCTGGGCACGGTGGCGCACGCTTGTAACCCCAGCTCTTGGGAGGCTGAGGAAGGCGGATCATTAGATCACACATTCGAGACTGACCTAGGCAATTTAGCGACATCCTGTCTCAAAATAAAAACTAAAAAGGGTGGTGATGTAGCTGTTGCAAAGACCCCGAGTTCAATCCCCAGTCCGGAGAAAAACAAAAACAAAAGGCATATCAGGTTTCTTGGAAAGGATAAAACCTGAAAAAACTACCCTACCCCTGGGGACACAGCCCTGCAAATTGCCCTGGAGTTCAGGAGCTAGGGTTAAGTTCCATGCCACCTGCCTCCTTTGGCCAAGAAAGTTTCTGGAAAAAAACAGCAGCCACCCTCCTGGGAGCTGTCAGGCAGGCTGTTTCCAGCTGAGCCTGCGTGTGTGGCTGTCTTCTCTGAATCACCTGGTTCAAGGCACTAATTTTCTCATTGTCTTACCTACAATTTTTCTTTTGCAGTATGGGCAAAACACTTTAGAATGCAGATGGAAAGTTACTCTTCGTTTTGCATTCATTTGACAGAAATTGGTACAGGACTCTCTGGTCAGTGAAAACAATAAATCACAGAGAAAGTGAAGAAAGCTGATTGTAATGCATATAAAATTTCTTGCACTCTGTTTCCCAAATTGCAAGAATCCTGAGAGGGTCACTAATAAGGTCACAAACAGATTTATTCCTTAATTATCTTTTAAAATAGGTCATATATGACCATATTAAAAATGCAATATTACAAAAATGTGTGCAACAATAATGTATCTGCATTTCACACTGCCACCAGGTCCCCTCCCTGAAGGCACCTAGGTCACCAGTGTCTTGTGCATTTTTCCAGATATTCTTTCATGAACAAGAATATAAGTAATATAGTGATTTTTAACAGACATGTTAAGCTACACTCTTGAGTGTGTGTGAGTTAGCTAAGATCCCCATAAGCTTGTGGCTTCAAACTTTAGCTCAAGAGAATATAACATACTCTTAGGGTGCTGATAACGTCTTGGGCCCATGTAGAGTTCAAACCATTGGTGAGGAGTTAGAGAAACCACAAGGTTGCAAAACAAACTAAATAGAGAAACCTATCTCAGGAGTAAACAGGGACCTACTGCTCCCTGTTGTAGATAAACACAGCCCATTTGATTTGTGCAAAAACAATAGTCAGAGATGACTATAGGGATAGAAAAAGAGATAGAACCCTAGGCCCTAACCTGCTGTCCATTAAAAACAAGATTTGTGTTTTTTCTTGGACAGAGACTTAAAAACCATTTTTGCTATGAACCGTAACTCTTCACTTGAGCCTACAGATGCCCAATAAGTAACTAAAAGCAAAATCAAATTTTATTTTCATGTTGTACCTTTCATGGCTGTAAAATTTGGGTCAAATCTCTTCTCAGTTCAACATACATGTATGTTAATCATTTAGGGAGCCTTGGTCTAAAATTGGCAAACCCAGATTGACTAGCATAATTTACATAATCTCACCCACCTCGAGGTTGAAGACATCAGGATGGACGGTTTCCAAGGGTATCCAACAAAGCTTGAGAAGTCATCAATCACAGCCCTGAATATGCCTTTCCTCAACCTGTGATCACCTGGGAACAAAAACAACCTCCAGCCACAAAGATTCCAGAACCATGACATCAGGATTGAGATGATAGTGATCAACTGGACCCCTCTTACCAGGTAATCCTTCAGAGTTGGTCTCTCTCTTTTTTGGATGGACCAGTCTGAACCCCTGAATCGGAGTGTGCCCCCTCTGGCTACCTAAGCTGGAATATTTCCTATCTTCCCTCTAACTTTCTTGTTACAGGTTGTTTCCCCATAGCTTTATGCTTTAGTTTTAATTTCTATCATTACTAAAAGCAAGGACCCACGCTGGCCAGTGACAATAGCTATCTAACTGTACCTGCGTATGTCAAGTTCAGCATGTCCACAACAAAGGCATCATTTCCTCCAAATGTGCTTCTCACACTTTTTTCTAATTTCCTTAGACACATTTCATTTTGACTTAGCAGTCGCACTTTGTCTTCACCTCCAATCAACAGAGCTGAATTTACCCCAACAGCTTTGATCTACAGTTCAATTCTTGATCTTTTCTTCTCCAGATGATTGAGCTGGGACAAGTCATTTAACATGACTGCATCTCTGCTTCCTTATCTGTAGAATGGTAATACTAATAGAAATTACCTGGTAGGTTTGTCAAAAAGAATTAAATGGATAAATACACATAAATTTGGAAGAGTACCTGACACATAAGAAGGGACAGTGAACTCAGCTGAAGTTGATGACTAAGTCACTTCTAATCAGATGCTATAGGAATAATGTTTCCAGGGTCTAATTTGAATAAGGCTACTCAGTTCTCACACAAAATAGTTTCTGAAATCTAATGTTGGTTTCCTTTCTAGCCCTTTATCGTTCCTTCCCAGTTTACTGAATGTTAATAATTTTCTCTACTTCCTGTTACGATCCTTCTCCCGTATCTGTCGATCAAAGCTTTGCTAATTCTTTGTAGCCTAATGAATGAGTCACATCTTCATCATTATTTTCTCCCAGAGTCCAGTAAATTCTCTCCTCGCCTTTCTCCCAATGTTCTCGATCTTCTTTTATAGTAAAGCAATTGCACACCCTGAAGTGTGTTTTCCTCACTAATTCCTAGGCTCACTTACAGACTTAAGTCTTACTATTTTATTCCCTGAGTCTACAGTAACACATGTCAAACATGAATAACTGAGTTGTTGATTTGAGATTATTACATTTTTTTGGACACATTATCAACCCTCTCAGCCCAGGAGATGACAATGAGTAGGTCAAAATACCAAGAGTCTGGGGGTTTGAAGTGTGAGACTTTTGGTGAATTCAAGGTAGGCATCCTAGTGTTAAAGTCCAAGGCAAGTATTGCACAATTTAATCCCTGAAATTATAATGATGTCAAATAATATAATTGATTCATTCTGCAATTCATCAGAACAGGTTGGTAAGAATGGGGTGAACTCAGCTGACCTGCACTCCTGAAGTCTTAGAGTTTCAAAATTGAGACAGGCACAGAAGCACATGCTAAAATCCTCAGCTTTGAGGCAGGAGGATTTCGATCAGAAGCCTGGCCTGGGAAATTTAGTAACATACCAAGCCCCTGTCTCAAAATAAAAAATATTTCTAAATGGGCTGGGGATGGATGTAGCTCAGGGGCATAACATCCCTGGATTCAATTCCCAGTACTGAAAAAAAAAGTTAAGAGACATCTTATTTTATTTCTATCACTACAGGATGGCTGCAGGATTACTGAAAATATGTATCAGAGTCAAGATGTGCAGTTCTTTTTTTTTTAAACTGGTGACAGAAATGTTTCAAGATTATGGATACTAAAAAAAATATATTTAAAATGCTATTATTTTACCAGTAGTCCTGCTAAACTGTAATAACTTCTTTAGATTTACCAAATGATTGGCTGGTATAAGTACATGTTATGGTTGATACACTGTGTCAGCTTGAGAAGTTCAGTAGTTTAACTAAGAGACTCAGCAGGGATCCAGGATCTTTAGCCTTATTCTGTGCAAAAGGAGGGCACAGAGATTTTGTGAGAGCTACATCTGGCCTGGCGGGGGATGGCCTGCATACAATATAAGGGAGGAGAAGAGACTTGCTCCCTACCGTATAACCAGTTTTGCTTTGACTGCCTTTGCTGGCTGCTGCCTTGAAGTGTTGCCCCTGTACCATGCCACCCTGCCTTGGAGCCAGCTGATTATGGACTGAAACCTCCACAAACTGTGAGCCAAATAAACCTTTCCTGCCTTCATTGTGGGTGTTGGGTATTTTGTCCCAGCAATGAGAGAAAAGTAACTAAGACAGTACAGATGTCAAAATCAGAAGACTTGGGTGTTATAAGGATTAAGAGATGATGTATGTCAGAGCCCTAAGCACACAATCAATAAACATGGTTAATAATCAACTATGCCCACAGCCCAGCACCTACCAAAGCTTCATAACTGCCATGGAAATGCATTCTAGGAAAGTGTGTTTACATCCTCTATCCCAGGGCACACAAGCTAAACTTTTTTTGTAAATCTCTCCCTATTTTTTTAAAAAGCATAAATCAAAATCTTGAACAATGACCTTTATGAGTGTGTTGTTTCAAGGTTACACATAATAGTGTAACCACAAAGGCATAATCATGGTTCAGTACTTAGATGAAAGTTTTACCCATCTTAAGTGTCCCGGCTATGATCATTATTTTTATTTTTTCTTACTTTATTTTTCTTTTCGGGTACTGGAAATCTGAAATTCTGAGACCACTAAGCAATACCCTCAGACATTTTTATTTTATGTTGAGACAGAGTCTCAGTAAATCACCCAGGCTGGCCTTGAGCTTACTGTACTCCTGCCTCCACCCCTAGTAGTTAGCATTACAAGTGTGAGCCACCTCATCTGGGTAATAATTCACTT